TATTTTCATTGGAAGGTCAGATATATATACAGAGAGGAAGATCTTCTGTCCGATAATTCACTCCCCAAGTGACCACAATGTCCGGTGCTGTGCCGATCCAAAGCCAGGAGCCAGGAACCTCTTCCAGGTCTCCCACGTGGGTGCTGGGTCCCAAAGCATTGGGCAGTCCTGGACTGCTTTCCCAGGCCACAAGTAGGGAGCTGGATGGGAAGTGGAGCTGCCGGGATTAGAACCGGCACCCATATGGGATCCTGGGGCATTCAAGGCGAGGACTTTAGCCGCTAGGCTACGCCGCTGGGCCCAAATTCTTTAATCTTAAAGAAGGAAGTGTCAACACAGAGAGAAATTATCAGAAGAGAGAGGCTACAGTAACTATTCAAAATCAGAACATTCCAGTATTACAAATATGCTTTGCAAATCATTCATGCAATTGCATTATTCCATTTAAATGTTCGGAGATAAGCAGTGAAAAAAAGAGATCAAATGTAACACCAGAAATTTAAAATAAAATGAGCACAAATTTGGGCTCATTGTTAGGATTTCTTACCTATTTTTTTTTTTTTTTTGCCTCTCTCCCTGTCTTAATTGTCAATTTTACCTTATTATTTCAAGCTAGCTTGTTATACTCAACAAAACTCTTTTTGTAAAGCCTCATAGAACCACAGTAAAAAAAAAAAAGGAATCAAAGTACAGCTATAGAAGAGTCAGTTAAACAAGAATGCACATTGTAACAAAGGGAGAAAAAATGAATTATAATAAAATACAAAACAATAATCAAAACAACCATAGAAATTTTATAAACGATTACTTTGAGTGACAGTGGAATGATTTCTCCAGTTAAAGGATATAAACTGAATGAATGAGTTAAAATTTTCACAACACTTTGCTTACAAACTCACTTCAGTTCTCAACGTAGACTGAAAGTGGAAGGATGAGCCAAGATAGTGCAAACACACCCAAAGGAAAGCAGAGCGAGGTACGCTTCTACCTAAGCAAATCTATTATAAAACACAAGCAATATAGAAAGATAGCAGGAAGATAATTATATACTAGTAAAGGGCTTATCAAACAAAAAGAAAAAAACATAGATCCCTGCAATACTGGCACAGACACAGGAAGCAACTCCTGAAGAGAACAAAAGGGAGAGACTCAACAATCTAACATGGACTTTGACATCTCGCCTTCAGAAACACAAAGGTCATATAAACAGAAAATCAACAGAAACAGCAGAGTTAAATTGTACCATAGTGTAATGGAAACTAGCAGTCACAAAACTTTCCATCCCGCAACTGCAGAGGACAATAGCATTTGGATATTTTCCAGGAATAATCATGTAGTAGGTCATAAAAATGTCTCAACAGCTAAAGTAATGGAAATCATGTCATGTATCTGTTCTGACCACAATGCAATAAAATGTGAAATAAATATCCATATAAACTTTGGAAATACACAATGCATGGAAATTAAGCAATTTCCTACTGAGCAATAAGTTAATCAAGGAAGAAATCAAAATGGAAGATAAAAAATTCTTGAAGCGATTGAGAATGGAAACATAACACATCAAAACCCAGGGTAAACATCAAAAACAACTTTTAAAAATTTTTTGTTTATTTTTATTGTAAAGTCAGATATATGGTGAGGAGGAGAGATAGAGAGGAAGATCTTCTGTCCAATGGTTCACTCCCCAAGTGACCGCAACAGCTGGTGCTGCACCAATCCAAAGTCTGGAGCTAGGAATTTCCTCCAGGTCTGCCATATGGGTGCAGGATCCCAAGGCTTTTGGGCCGTTTTTGACTGCTTTCCCAGGATACAAGCAGGGAGCTGATGAGAAGTGGGGCTGCCAGGATTAGAACTGGCACCCAAATGAGATCCCAGAGCATTCAAGGTGTGGACTTTTGTCACTAGGCCACTGCATCAGGCCCCAACAAAAGCAGTGTTAAGAGATAAGTTCACAACAATTGCCAGAATTTAAAATTAGTAAATAAACAATATATCAGTTTGCCTCAGGAAACTAGAAAGGCTAGAGGAAATAGAATTTACAGCTGGCAGAGAGAATGAAATAATAAATCTCAGAGCACAAATAAATGACAGAGACTAAAAATTATAAAACTCAAATAAATGAAGAGCTATTTTCCCTAAAATAATAAAAATGTTGCTAGTTCCTTAGACTAACAACAGAAGAAGAGATCATTCATATACACAGAATGATAAAGGTAAATAAAGACATTATTACTGATACCAAAGAAATAAAACCGTGGTCACTACGAGCAATTACACAGTGACAGATATGATATCTAAGAAAAATGGACAAATTTCTGGACACATACTTTACCATGATTGAATCACAAGGAAATAAAATATGTAAACACACCAATAATAAGAAAAAATATTCACAAAAGCCTCATTGCTGAATTCTGTAACAGTTTAAATAAGAACTAATACTGATCCTTCTCAGACTATTTCGAGAAACACAGGACAGAATTGTTCCCAACATATTCCGCAAGTTAGCGTTAGTTTGACATCAAAGTCAGACAAGGACACAATAAAACAGTACGGAGAGGGTAGGAGGGAGGGAGAAGCATACGCTCAGCGTCTCCCCTGGCTTCTGCAGCTCTCGCAAAGGTGATCGGTGTGTACATATTTTTTCACATGGGTGTTCCTGTGAGTAGTTGGTCTCTAGTCTCTTAATCATTCACCATTGTGTTCCCCAAACATAAGTTAAATCTTTGAGAAACTGTGCAACAAACATTTCATCTTTCTTATTGTTACGTTTTTATTCCTGAATATATAGAGAACAAATTTCATTAGTTTCATAGATAAAATTCCAAGAATACTTGCCTTCCTTCCTTTTCCTCTCCTTCCCTCCTTTTTGTCCCTTTTTCTTTTAATTTTTGCCAAAATATACTTTCAATTTACTTCGTAATCATAAACTCAAATGCTCTTCTAGAAAAGTCCACAAGGAAAAGGTAGATGGATGACTGTTCCCAAGAGGTTCAGACGAGGATAATAGACAGCAGTTTACTCCGTGTTCACCTTTTGACTGCGTGACGTTAACAGGCATAATGCAGTTTCTCTGAATCTGAGTTACTCTTTTGTAAAAGAAGATATTAGTCTGCTTCACGCTGGGGGGAGAAATCCAACTCCAATTGTCTAAACAAGGAAATGTTCTGGCTCATTTTACTCAAAATCGAAGCTGGCTTCACATTGTGTTTCATCCGGTGTATCAATGGTTTCCCCAGGACCTCAATCTCTCCATCTGCCCCTTCTACCTCAGGCATTAGAGTATAGCAGACCCTCTCCTGATTTTTGGCTCAATGATAGCCCACTCACAAATAGCCTCAAGAAATATCTACTTCCATGTCTCCAGTTCTGAGTTAGTTGTTAATCACAGATGTAATCACTGTAGCTAGGACACATTCAGTACCGATTATAATCCGATACACTGGATCCTCAATGCCACAATGTTTTGTTGCAACTGCATTGTGATTTATTTGCTGTCTCTGGCAAGCTGTGCGCTCCACAAGCACACGCACCACCTTGCTATCCTTTCTGGCTTCTTTTCCTTGTGTCAGCAATGGTAGTGTAGAGTGTAGCACACAGGAATACTAACAAATACTTGGTGAATGAGTGAACACTGAATGCCTTCCCTACAAAAGGGGCTTCCACACAAAATATGCTCCAAGGAAAATAAACTTTGGTATCTACTGCTTTTCAGTATTATTTAGGTTATTGCACTTAATCTTCACAATTCGATAAGCCTATGAATGGGCTTGTTGTTTCCTTCTACTCGGCATTCATTCTATCCTTGGTAAAAACTGCTCCCCAGTTTTGGGCAATGGGAACAAAATGACATTTCCCATCCTACAATTGTCTTTGGCTTGAACTTACCTCTTTCCCTGCTACACTATGGGGTCCTGATTAGTTCACACTGACAGGCATGTCTGAACTTGGGTCATAATCCCAAATTTTGAAATTCTAGAAGAATAAAATATCTAAAATCTAAAATTACAAAAATATAATTCTGGAAAAAGATGACTTAACATTCCTTAAAAGACATTTATTTACACACAGGAAATTTATCTGAAAAACTTATAGACCAGTGTTTCAAAAAAATAAACAATATTTGTTGTTAACATAAAAACTAGGATATAGGGCCTGATGTGATGGCTCAATGGCTAACTTGTCACCCTGCAACCACTAGGATCCTATATAGTTGCCAATTCATGTCCCGGCTGCACCACTCCCACACAGCTCCCTACTTTTGCCCTAGAAAAGCAGTAGAGGAGGGCCCAGTATTTTGGAACTCTGCACTCGTATGGGAGACACAGAACAAGCTCCTGGCTCCTGACTTCAGATCAGTTTGGCTCCTGCCATTGCAGCCATTTGGGGAATGAACCAGCAGATTGAAGATTTTTCTCTCTGTTTCTGCTTCTCTCTATAAATCTGCCTTTCCAACAAAAAATAAATAAATCCTTTTTTCCCATTTTTAAATTATATTTTTGACAATATCTACCTAGTTAATTAGGGTAAAAAGGTTCAAGGGCTACAGGAAAGTGCGTAAGACTGTTATTTCCATATTGTTTCCTTCATGTATCTGAAGTAGAGGGGGATATTGAGGGAGAAGCCCCACCCAGTCTCCCACCCACCCCAGTCCCGGATGTGGGGCATACTCAGAGATTCTTGCTCAAGTGGTTTTGATAGTTCACCAGTTATGAATCGCTGCCAATCTCACCATTCCAAGCACGATGAGGTCGTTGAAGAATCCACTGATTGACATAGTCCATCGTAGAGTTTCCGTTTGCCCAGTTTTTCACTGCCAGCATGTAACTGAGGTGGTTGATGGACTTGTTCTGTCCACTTGTCTTTTCATGGTTAGGGTTCCGAGTCCAGCAGTTTGATTGGGAAGATAACAAAAGAAACTTTGTCTGAGGTGTTCCCAGACCAGATTCTTCCGTGTACTAGCAAGTACAGGGCCTGGCACAGTCCATCGCCCCAATCAGCTGGTGGTTGCAATTGCTGGGTTGGTTCTGTTAAATAAATCTTTAAAAAGATACCTCAAGTGTAGTCAGGGAACTATAGATCCTCAAGATCCTAAGCAGTTAGCAGTTTAATTTAAAATTGCCTTTTCCCAAGATTGCTCAGAGCATTTGCCATACAGATGCTTTCCCTTTTTTTAATCAATACAGTACTTAATATTTGAACTAAATTATATCAATTGTATAAACGTATTTATACTAAATGATATCCTTCGGTAAAAATACAGACGACTTCTTGTTTCTACTTAAAAGATAAATATCAATATATAGCTGCAACTTTGCTTACCTGATACTATTAAAATTCCACAAGGTGGCAGCAGAGGAAACATTATCTCAGGGTAGCATTCCAGAGCAGCCTTAGGAAGCAGCAAGGGAAGGCTTTCCCTCTGTCTTCTGAGAATCCTGTGCTTGTGAGCTGGTCCGTATGACTTCGAGTCTGCAGGTTCCCATCCAAAAACTTTTGTCAGCCTAGATAGTAAGTTTCAGGTTTTCTATATAGTTCATTATGAGGGTTCAACAAGCATCATTGTTGTTCTTTAATCCTAATGAAAGGAATGGAGCACATACCCATTTTGATCCTGAATTGAGTAAAGTGCTTTTGAAGCAGACACTAGTATAGGTAGTATATATATATAGTATATAAATATATATAGTATATAGTATATATATATATATAGGTACACTATTTTATATTTTAGCAATATTCAAGGCATATTTTATATTGCAATATGATCTTGTAATATTAACTGTGCCATAATCTGTGACCTCAATAAGTAGGTGTGTTATCTTCTAATTCATGTAATGACTTTACTCATTGATTTTTTTCACTCCTAACAGCGGTATTAAAACATATTTGAATCCCTTTCCTCCTTCAGGAAAAATGATGAACAAGTTTTAATGCCTATCCGGCTTTTTTTAACACTTGATTCTAAAAGAAGATAATGGGGTGGTGCCAGCACCGTGGTGTATAAAGCTAGGCCTTCACATGTGATATCAACATCTCCTATGGCCACCAGTTCTTGTTCTGGCTGCTCTATCCCTGCTTATGGCCTAGGGAAGCTGTGGAGGATGGCTTAAGTCCTTCGGCCCCTGCACTGGTGGGAAACCTGGAAGATACTCCTAGCTCCTGGTTTTGGATCAGCTCAGCTCCAGCCATTGAGACTATTTGCCTAGTGAACCAACAATGGAAGATCTCTCTGACTCTCTTTCTCTAACTCCGCTATTCAAATAAAAATCAAATAAATTTTCTGTTGAATGATAATAAAAAAAGAAAAGCCATAATGCCCCACCTTCTCATTTCAGCTCTCATACTGTGAACAGTGTCCTTTACGCAATGTGTCCAGTCCCAGAATTTCGCATGTGTGTACTTATGCTGATGATTTCATTGTTGAAAATGCTCCCTAAGCATGCTACTAAAGTGCTAAGCATAGTTCCTAAGCATGAGGAAGCTATGAGGTGTCATTTAAAAAAGTGTGGTAGATAACATTTATCGAAGAATAAGCTACAGCATTCTCGGTGGCAAATGCAATGTTAATGAGTCAATTATACATTAAATAAGGTGTCTTTAAGTAGAATTACATAGAAAATAAGGTCATGTATTTATTGGCTGATAAAAATACAACCAGAGCCTCAGAAGACCTTGACCTCCTATTTCCTCAAGGAGCAGTAGCTCAGTATTGATTGTGCATGAAAGCTTTACAAAACACAGCTACAACCAAAGATGAATATCAACTGTATCCTCCAGCGGCTGCAGACCACTAGAGAGTCTTAACTTTAGGTCTTCCCTCTGGCTAGAGAGTGGAATTGAAAGGAAAGAAAACTGAGCCTAAAATTCCAGACCTGGTGATTCTAACAAAATCCTCAGTTGCACTTGGTGGTTTCTTCCAGGTCAGTGTGTATATTCATGGAAATACAATTAGAAATAAAATTCTCGAGCATTCTTTGGGTCATGTTTTTCTTTGAACATTCATATACAAATACCATTGCTTTATTACTGAAAAGAAGGATGTTTTTGACCCATAACAGTAAAATTACTGCATATGTATATGCTTAGAAAATTTTCACATATGAAATTTTAATATAAAATTCAAGCAAAAACAAAAAGTAAAGAATCATTAAAAACTAAGATTTTTATTTTATAAAGTCTAATAGATTAAAATTTTAGAAGGATTTTAGCAGGAGAGCATATCCAGCAGAGGGTCATAGATTAGGCCATTCAACAAGTTAAACCACGTGTAAATGACAGATTCATACAATATGTCTTTTCTGACCCCTGTGGAGTCATGTGGAAGTTAAAATCAAAAGGAAGGTCTGTCTCCTTCCCCTTCTCTCTATATAATTCTGCTTTCCATGGGAAAAAGAAAAAAGAAGAAGAAGAAAATAAAGAGAAAAAGAAAGAGAGAAAAATCTTTGCGTTTATGACAAACTGGATGGAACTATAGACCATTAGGCTAATTGAAAATTAAAAATTAAGATGGGCATTTCTGGACACAGAAAGATAAAATATCACATGATTTATATGTGAAAGTTATAAAAATTGTGTGAATATAATCTTATTTGGTTTTTGGTTTACAGATAATTATATTGTCATCACTGAATTAAACCATCTATGTGGTCGTATTCCCTTCTTTCCTTACTTCATGATCGTTTTCATAATTTCCACACTATGTGATTTCAATATCTATGTTTTCAAGAAAAAATACTGTTTATGTGCATGTAGAAAGAAAATTCTGGCTTTGTGTGAGTATGTAAAGTTTTAAACACATAAAAAATGTTTTGCAAAAAGAAAAGTACATATCAATGGGTGAATTTTTAGCTTTATTTATTTTTTCAAAGATTTACTTATTTTGGCTGCAAAGTCAGATATATATGGAGGAGGAGAGACAGAGAAGATCTTCCCTCCGTTGATTGACTCCCCAGGCAGCTGCAACGGCCAGAGCTGAGCCAATCTGAGGCCAGGGGTCTGAATTTTCTTCCTATCTCCCACGTGGGTGCAGAGTCCCAAGGTTTGGGCCTTGTTCGACTGCTTTCCCAAGCCACAAGCAGGAAGTCGGATGTCTTGCAAAAAGTAAACTTGATTAAAAACTAATTATTATGTAGAGTAAGTACCTGTTAGGTTCTTTCATTTATAAATTGTGCCTTGAGGACTGAGATCATCCCTTATTCATTGTTTTTATGACTGCACTAACTGCAGTCACAGCACTTTGCAGTCCATTCTTACCACATCCACATGATACTGTGCTGATATTATTCTCTAAAACTAATGCACTTGAGATAACTTTCCTAATCACCTTATGGCAAGCAAGAGATAGTGGTTTCTCTCTGCTTTGCCCCAACTGAATCCTGCAAGGGTCTTCAGCATTTAACAATTTACATAACACAAAATAGGTTATTGATTATACAAGTTAGTAAACAAAGAACAGGATTATAACTCTAGAATATTGTCAATAAGCTAAACTTGCTATATATTTTCAAAAATACAGTACTGCTAATTAAATGGTGGTCATTTGTAATGGCAGTTATCAGAGCTACTTCTTAAATGTACAACACACAAATGAAAAAGTTAGAAAACAATGAGAATATGTTATTTATCATTTCTGAATTGAAACTTACAAAAGTCTATAGGGTGAATTTTAAAACTATGGACACTAAAATGCTTCTCTGAGTTTACAAAAGAACTGGTAGGGCTAGAAAAACAGCAAAGACATTCATCAGCGGGATTCCCCACCTCCAAGGAGAAAGAAAACAGAAATTTACATCACGAAAACAATGAGAAGATGAAAGTGAAAGCTATTGCAATAAAGCTGACAGAGGAAAACACCCACTCAAAGGAAAAGCAGAAAACAAATGACCGGTGAAAATGCAAATGAAGGCAAATGATACATTTTAAAATGGTGGCTTTTTTCCTGATTCCTTAAGGCCTTTCTCAGGAGGGACTCTGTCAAGACTAAGGCAGATTTCTGAAAACAAAGTTCTCCGTTTCCCCTCAGGGCCTCTCACCCATGCTCGGTGTTCATACTCCATCTCCATCCAGCAGGGCACCCTAACTTGAGAAAAACATATAAATTGTTACTGTTAGGCAGTATGCAATGTTAACAGTGAGATTAGGCTAGAATGTCCACATGAAAAACCACCCAGTGAAACTGTAAGTGTATGTTTTATCTAATGTACCATAATTTCCATAGCATTTTTTCTGACCTCACACACTTATGCTTCTCCAGTATTTTAAAGCTATTGTTTATATCTTCCCACTCTAATTGAAATATTAGCTACAAAAAACTTTAATTACAGCTAGAACAGGGCTGATCATATTTTTTTTAATCACTGATTAAATTTGAATATGAACCACTTATTAAACAACTAATTTTCACCCATTTCCACCAAGATATCAATTTTACAACTAAAGAAATGACACTACTTCTCCATATTAAATCAATAATCCTTTCTCATTCACCTGTGTTTGAAACAAACAAAACCACCAGTGGTTAGGAGCTAGGGAACAGACTGGTTTGTGCTGGTTGATTGTTGGCCTGGGGGTGGTACACCAAGCTGAAAGAAAGTCACAGGCATCTGGGGGCACGGGGCACACATGTTCACAATAACACTCAAAAATCGTTCTGTACCCCCAGTAACAAAATCATTTAGATACTTCTGTGAAACATCTGCTTTGATTCTTTGTTGCTTAAGTACAAGGTCAATTCTTCTAATTAACTTAAGAAATAGTAAAATTCCAAGAAGAAATAGGAAAAAAAAAAAAAAAAAGTAGTGGCCGATTTTTTTTTGGCATAACAGGCCAAGCGATTGCCTGCATTCCCACAATGGAATCCCAGTTCAGAAGCCCCACTTCTGTTTCTGATCCAGTTCCTCGATACCCATCCGGGAAAACTGCAAAAGACAAAATTCTACAACTTCCATGGGTGATTTGGGTGAAGTGCCACACTCCTGGCTTCAGGCTGGTCCAGTCCCAGGCAACTGCAGCTGCTGAGCAGAGAACCAGCAAATGGATGATTTCTTTCTCTCTCATTGGCTCCTTTTGCTCTCTGTCACTGCCTTTCGAAGAAGATTCTTCAAAAGGAGGAGGAGGAGAAGAACAACAACAAGACAAATCAAATCTATGCAGAAGGTCTCACTTAGCTGCATGATATTATTACAGAATAAAATAAGACAACATGCTATAAAGTGCTCATGTGGATATTTAGGACGCACCCAAACAAATGCCACAGATTCTGTATTTCTCTTACTTAGTCCAAGTAACTGTCAGGTCTCCCTGACCCAGCCAGATTTCATTGAATGTGCTTTGCTAACAGTTTAATTTTCCCAAATATGTTCTTTCGATAGCCAAAGTGACCCTCTCCACTCGTGTCCATACGATTCTGGTCCTTGAGGCACCAGTGACAGTACATGCACACCACAATCAATAGTCACAGAATGCCTCCTCAGAGGGTAGCAAGTTTAAAGATTCACAGTTTTAGGCTTCTGTTCTGAAATGAAGCTGGCATTTTCCAGCGTTGCTTCCTTTTTTTCTCTCCCATGACATAAACAAATGTTGATGTTTACTACAAGTTGGTACATTAGTTGCTAATTAAGTTGCTAGCTGCTTCAGCCAAAACTTGCTGTATTGAATCCAAGAAAAGAATGGCAGCTATATCAAAAATAAAATTGTTGAGTTTGTTGGACTGTTGTTTTGTTAAAAGAAAGTTGTGGATGAAATCAGATTCGGAGGGAACTTACAGCTGGGAGACAGAAAGCCTTCAGTTTGGACTTCCTCCTGGACCGACTAAGTTGATTACGCAGAAGGCAGGGACTCGAGCTGATGCCCAGCACAAAGCTCAAACACCTGGAGCAGGCAACAAGTTTTTAGGAAGCCTCAGATTTAATTTGGTCAGATTTATTTTGGAAGGTCTTAGGGTTGACCTCTTTATGGAATAGAAAGGGCCCCGGGACTGTCACGTGTGTCTTCCTAGTTTGAGGGTACATGCAGGGCCAGACCCACCCCAGCTTTCCTCAACCCCGGAGTTTGATGCTCTGCTCATACCTTCTCCTGCGGAAAATTCTAAATCCCAACTACACCGGCCCTCAAGTTTTAGCTGACAAAGAGTTGTAAGTTTCGAGACGGAACCCCGCTGGGAAGATAAAATACCCACAGCAGGAGAGCGGGAAGCTTGCCAGCGTTTACGGGATCCTAGAGGGTATTCCCTTTCCCTTTCTATTTTCCTTCGTAGTTCTTCTGACCCCAGGGCTGTCTTCACCAGGCCAAGCAAGACGTGGCTCCTCCCTGAACACACACTCCCTGGCGTCGGGAAAGAGAATCGAAACAGAAACCAGGCTCGGGATGACTAGAAAACTGTCAGCCGGAACTTAAGACTTTCAGATGGCGGCCAGGCGAGTGCGTAGAAAGAGCGTTCACTGGGAGCCCTGCGCGCTGCCAGGCAGAGCCCAGGCGAGCACAGCCCGGATTCCTGCACTCCTCATCACAAAGGCTTAGGCCCCGTGCACCTGCTTGCCTGACCACCCGCCCAAGCTGTCCCGGTGAGACTGCGTTCTGGGCATTGCCCTGGGGGCTCCGGCCAACAACGTCGCCTGCCACCTCTAAGGCAGGAGACTGCTGCACCTGTCAACAGCCTACTGGGGGGAATTTTCTTTCTCCAAGAACTGAAGATGTGCGATGATTATTCTGCAGACAAGAGTTTCCGCTATCTCGTCTCATGTTTCAGGGCCAGAGTGAAAATGTACATCCAGGTGGAGCCGGTGCTGGACCACCTGACTTTTCTGCCTCCAGAAGTGAAGGAGCAGATTCACAGAACGGCAGCCACCTCCGGGAACATACAAGCGGCCGAACTGCTTCTAACCACTTTAGAAAAAGGAGTCTGGACCCAGGGCTGGACTCGGGAGTTTGTGGAGGCCCTCAAGAGAGCCGGCAACCCTTTGGCAGCCCGCTATGTGAACCCGGACCTCACAGAGCTGCCTTCACCATCCTTTGAGAAAACTCATGATGAATGTCTGCAACTGCTAACCCTCCTTCAGCCCACATTGGTGGACAAGCTTCTGGTTAGAGACGTCTTAGATAAATGCGTGCAGGAGGAATTGCTGACAGCAGAAGACAGAAATCGGGTAGGTGGTGGTTCAGATGGAGCTGGGCTTTTAGCACTTGGCAAAGGGCGGCTGCTTGTGCCTTCACCCTATCCCTGAGTGGTCCTTGACACCTTTGGCAGATGTGGTTCTCTCCCTCGGTGAAGAGAGAGAATCTAGCTATTTCAAAAACATGATTTTGAATACTAACACACAAAGATGTTAATACTTTAAGCCTTTCACTGAGATTAAACAACTTTAGAATGGTAATGTGTACTGATAGACGATGTTTATTAGGCACTTACTGTATGTAATTGCAAAAGTTTTTAAAGTGTATTTTCACAATGTGTCCTAACATTATTAATCCATTTTAAGGATAAGAAAACTTGGAGACATTAAAAAAAAAATGTGCTCAAGATTTCCAGGGAGAATGGTGGCAGTGCTAAGATCTGTCAGGTCCTGATTGAGTATCATGTCTTCATTAATGCAGTTCCATAGAATTAGGGCACATAGGCTAAATTCGGGCTTATTGAAGGCCTAAATAATGGGAAACTGGGAAATGCCTTTCAATTTCTGAATTTTTAGATTTCAGTGTTCATAAAGTTTTATTAAACACAGGATACTCATTTATGTACATACTGATCATGCCCTTTTCTTTACTGCTACACTTTTAGAAAGAAACTATAGGGCTTCCAAATCCCCAAGTGTTTATTAGTTGGCCCTTTAGATAAAAAAATTAAAAAAAACATGGGAGGCACTGGCAGAATAAGCTTCCCTTGGGATGCCAGCATCCCATATCAGAGTGCCAGTTTGAGTCCTAGCTGCTCCACTTTGGATCCAACTCCCTGCTAATGTGCCTGGGAAAACAACCAAAACTTGCTGAAGTACTTGGGCTCCTGCTACCCAAAGGGGAGTCCAGGATGGGTTTCTTGGCTCATGACTTTGGCCTGGCCCAGGATTGACTGTTGGAACCACTCTGTCATTCCAATAAGTAAATCCTTCAAAAATAAATAGATAAAGAAGGTCCCGATATTAGGAACAGCATCTGATCTATATCTGACATTATGTCATTTACTCCTTGTTAAATATTTTTATGTACATAAAAAGTCACATATTCCATATATATATATAGTTTTAAGAACAGAATGATAACTTCCCACCCCATCTTCCTTCCTCCTTCTTATTTTTTCTTTTACTTTTCACAGTGGCATACTTTCAATTCTTAAAAAGATGTGTTTTATTTTTACTTGCAATGCAGAGTTATAGAAAGAAGGAGAGACACAGAGAAAGTGGTCTTCCGTCCCCTGGCTCACTCCCCAAATGGCTACAACAGCTGGAGCTGGGCCAGTTCAAAGCCAGGAGGCCAGAATCTCCTCCGGTCTCCCACATGGGTACAGGAGTCCAAGGACTTAAGTTATCCTCTGCTCCTAACCTAAAGCTAACCTAAAGCTAACCTACTACACCACGACACTGGCCCTGACATGCTTTAATTTAATCATAATCCAGGAACTTCTTCTAGGTCTCCCACATAGAGGAAGGGGCCCAAGAACTGAAACCATCCTCTGCTGCTTTCACAGGCCGTAAGCAGAGAGTTGTATTGGAAGTGGAGCAACCAGGATGTGAACTGGTGCCCATATGGTTTTCTGGCACAGCAGGTGGAAGGTTATGCTAGGCCAATATGCCAGATATTTTTTTTAAGACCTAATTTAAAAAAATTTTTATTGGAAAGTTAGATGCGCAGAGAAGAGGAGAGACAGAGAGGAAGATCTGTCCAATGATTCACTCCTTAAGCAGCTGCAGCGGCTGGAACTGCGCCAATTCGAAGCCAGGAGCCCAGAGCCTCTTCCAGCTCTCCCATGCGGGTGCAGTGTCCCAAGATTTTGGGCCATCCTCAATGGTTTCCCAGGCCACAAGCAGGAAGCTGGATGGGAAGCAGGGCTGCTGGGATTAGAATCGGCACCCATACGGGATCCTGGCCGATGCAATGCGATGACTTTAGTGGCTAGGCCATTGTGCCAGGCCATAAAATAGATTTTTTTTTTTAACAGTGGCATTTCACAGAGTAGATTTTGTAAGTGACTTTGAACAATTAAATTTTCACTGTTTTGGGCCCGGCGCGGTGGCGCAAGTGGTTTTGCTCCTCGCCTTGCCCGCCCGGGATCCCATATGGGCGCCGGTTCTATCCTGGCAGCCCCGCTTCCCTTCCAGCTCCCTGCCTGTGGCCCGGGAAAGCAGTTGAGGACGGCCCAAAGCTTTGGGACCCTGCACCCGCGTGGGAGACCCGGAAGAGTCTCCTGGCTTCGGATCGGCATAGCATCGGCCCGTTGCGCTCACTTGGGGAGTGAATCATCGGATGGAAGATCTTCCTGTCTGTCTCTCCTCTCTGTATATCCGCCTTTCATAAAAATAAATCTTTAAAAAATTTTTTTTTCACTGTTTTTCAAAAAGTGAAGAAATAGCAGAGTATGTAAATGTCTTCTTGTTTGAATCTGAATTTTTCAGGATAGTAAGGATTTTTTGTTTGAAAGGTATTTAAGCAAATAAACACATATCTAAATCAAAGGTTTTGTACATTTTGACATCTTTGTCTCTTTTTTTGATTCATGAATTATTTGCATCTTCAGTATGCAGTTCTGGCCATTGTATAGATTACAATAGCTTATGACATGACTTTGTCTTTCATGACTGACAGCAATGGTCCCTTGTAGACTTGACAGACATAGGACCTATCCAAACACCCAAACATGCATCTAATTTTGATGGCTAGTTTTTCCAACAAGTAAATTACACTGTTGGCTGCAGTGTTTGTGTCATTTTGCGTATTGAGAACCAGCTAGAACGCATTATAGTAGTCCAGCTGGATATGACAAATGTGTACATCACTGTGGCAAAATCTTAATTTGGAAGTAAGTATGCAGCCTCCAAGCCAGCTGGAGATGGAAGATGGCATTTCCAGCCACAGTAGCTGTTAGGAAGTCCAGAAGCAACAGAGTCCAGTAACACCACAAAGCTGTTTGTGTTCCATAGGGATGATGGCCCGATTGCCAGAGAAACAGCACTTCTCCTTATTTACTCTAAATACTTCTGCCTATCAGCGTCACTTTTGTCTTGCCTGGATTGAATTTCTGCCAGCCAGATTTTATCCAAGTTCTTGATTCTGGCATGCTGGGGACAGCTAGTAATAATACGAAAGATTTGACGTGAAGAACATGGAGTGTAAAGAAACTTCTGTGTAAGAGATTAGACCACAACAACCCAGACCCTCTCTCAGATCCACACTGCACAGGAGACTGAAGAGAGCTCTGAAAACCAGAACAGTGGGGCTCTCTGAAGAGTACTAGAGTGCCTGGTAGAGTGCAGAATGGTTTTTATTTGTATCATTAATAGGTATTGTAGCTCCAAGAATCATCATGGTGGACAATGGGAAGGAAGCCATCTGTTTTGAAGATTTATATTGATGTGGGGTCCAAAATGAGTGTTTATGCAATAGAATCAAGGTGCGATGAAAAATCATAATTTAAAATGGGAATACATGTATTTGAAGGCAATCATTGCTTTTTATTCTGTGTTTCTTTAAGTTTATCCATGAAAATAAACACCATAGAAAATTTTCTTCTCAGTATTTTAATCAATGCCAACAAAAAAGCATAAAAAGCATTGACTAAGAAAGAAATATTTTATATGAATATGCTGAATTTTATTCATCCACCTGGTTAACTTTATTATAAATGTAAGGTTTCAGAGATTTAGGCAAACTTGTATGCTGAATTCGAAGCCTGATTCTTAGTCTTAAGGTTCATAAAATCTTAAACTGATTTAAATGAGAAATTATTGCTTTTATGTTTAGCTTTCCAAAGGTAGACAGGACTTAAGTAGGTACCTAATAAGTGCTGGTTCATTGACTAACTGATTGATTGATTGAATGGGTATATTTTTTAAAAAATGACTTCAGTAAGGCTTGAAAACACATTCTGTGTTGAAATGTCTTGCTGAGAATTGGGGAATAATTTGATGATGGTATTTAAACCTCCAAGGTTCTTTTCCTTTTGTTTTGTTTTACAGCTTTAAAAGCTATCAAAATTTAAGCTTAGCTTCATTAAATAAACACAACCTTTAAACATTCATTTTATTTTTATACTTTTCCTGTTTCCCAGTAGACATTATCCAACCAATCTGTTCTTTTGGTTTAGGATTCCCACACCAATCTTCCAGTCTGTGTCTCCGGGCACCATGCTAGGGGTCAGACGAGAAGAGGAACATGAATTGTCATGTTTTCCTAAAGTTCCTGTTGTAGTCTCAGAGTTCATTGTACCAGCAGTTGAAAAATGTCTGCTGTATATGAGGAACTACTTTGAATACGAGTACCGCAGCAAGTTTTACAAATGACATCTTACAGATCACTGTAGGGGAATGATCCCTGTCAGGCTGGGAGTGCCGCAGTCCTGCCCTCCTTGTCCTTCAGCATGTTGCTCCACGACAACTTGGTGCATCATGGACTAGGCAGCCATGAACTCTGGAGCATAAGTTACATAGTGTCTTAATATTGTCTAAGTAACTTAGAAGACCCTTTCAGCCCTGGTGGAAAGCGTTCAATACTTGTGGTCCTGCAGACTATTCCTCTCTACCTTTCCCCACCCCTACACACCTTTCATTTCATGGAACCAAATGTAGTAGGACCGCTCCAGTTAAACACCGACTTCATTTCTTCCAGCAAAGAGTTGAAAGCCCAAGTAAGTCTCCACTGAGCATATGATATTGTTATGAAAATTAAGGAGGAAGAGAGTATTGTTCAAAAATATGAATTCGAATTTATCTATATCAGTATAATAAATACTAATCTATTTAAGACATTTTTGGTGGTAAACTAATTTAAAAATATTTTTTATAACATGAGTTTACTTTCTGATTTACTGTTATCTGAGGGTTTAACTGTTGAATTATCTGTATATTTAAATTTTTACCTAAGATTATCTAAGAGAGAGAGAAAGTAATTCTATCAAACGTGTAATTGTTGTGGCAAGCCACATTCTATGGCAATATTATTAGTTTTTGCAATGATTTCTGCTAGACAGAAAAAAATATATCAAAAATTTTAGAAATGAAAGCATGGAATTGCATTACTCATAAATTCATGTTTGTTTTATAGACCTCATGTTAATTAGCAATGTATCCACAGGCTTTTTTTTTAACTTCACAGAAAAAACTTTGAGGAAGAGACATGGGTAAGAATCATGTCATGTCCAGTACCAGTCTGAAGTCTAGAATTCACTCATTAGGAATGATATTCATGACATGGATATCTTGGGATCTAATCGCCTTACACTATTTTAGGAGAGCAGATTAAGTAAAATCAAGCTATATCATTATCTCAAAAGTAATTGATGTAACTTACCAGTCCCCAAATTCAGAAGACTCGTTGAAAATTCAGAATTTTGATAAGGCTATTAAAATCACAATTATATACATAGTTACACTTTTAAGCAATAAAGTATGTATAGAAAATAATGGTAATGAATCTGAACTCAATAAGGATAAAGATTGAAAACTGTAATACTATCAAAACAACCAATTTAGTAGATTAACAAGCGAAGAAAATTTAGTGGGTAAATGTGTTTGTACTTTTAATACAAGTATTATTTGCAGGGATTCTTTCATCCTTTTTACAGAAATTTTTTTCTGTTTAGATCTGTCAGATGTATTGATAGTAGATTAAGGAACATATCAGCAAAATTGGAATGATATGTTAGAAGGTGCAGAAAGAAACCAGTCTTATATTTATAGCAATTAATTCTTAACAAACAGCAATGAAGGCGATATGAGCACCAGAGAAGATAAAAATTTTCTGTTGGGAGATCAAAAACTTAGAGAAAAAGTAATAAAAGAGCAAAAGAATTGTCTTAGAAAATGGTAATCAGGAAAGGGACCCAAATCACCTAAAATTTGCAAAGTTCTAATAGTAATTTTAACTACTTGCAACAATATGTACTTGAACATGTAGAAAATTATGAACTATAATTGTGACTCAGGATTTGATCTCCAAAGGCCCACACCCAGGATCAAGTTCCTTCTTTCTCATTCACCTGGCTTTGAGACCCAGAGGCCAACATCCAGGATCAGGTTGTCTTTCTCACTTACTTGTTTTGAGACCCTAGACATGTAAATGCCTCTGTGCCTGAAATTTCTAATCTGTAAAATGGGTTAACATTCTAAGCAGCTGGACTAATACACAATGTACAGCATTATTAACTACTCATTACTAAGGCTAAACGTCACAAGGTCTGCTCATTTGTACTGAGTGGTATATATATTAATGAAATCATTGTAAAAATAGATACTTTTCTTAGCTGTTCATAATAATAGCTAACACTAAGTTTAGGCAGACATTGTTCCCCAGATACTAACAAATGCTTGACATTAAATGTAGAATTTAAGTTAAATTTAAATTAAATTAAATGTGGGATTCAATGTGGAGCAGACTGAGCAGGGCCAGGTTCCACACCCACCAGCAAGAATTGGGGGTTGGGCAGGCCAGGTTAAGCTAGAATATATCATCCAAAAACAAAGGCCAAGAAAGGGGAGGAACTATGCCAAACTGGGTCAGACGAACCACTGACATGCTCACAACCTATGACTGGGAACAGGCCTGTTGGGGAGCAAAAGGGGTGTACTAGCTGGATTGTGGTTCTCGCTGGTGAGTGTGTGGGCTGCAGTGGGGCCTGCTATCTGATCTGGACATGGTTGTAGTGTCCCTTGGCACAAGTGTTGACTGGGGCTGGAGTGTGACAGACTAGCACCCACTGGTGCTCCTGACAGCCAGGGTAGATATAGAACGGACTGGGTTGATTTCTGCCCCTATTGAGCCATGCATAAGCTATATCTGAGTGTGTACCAGGCTTGGCTGGGCTATAACATCCAACAGTAAAATCCAGAATGGGGGAAGGCCAGTCAGGAAAGACTATTCCTGCTGAGGCAGGAGGTAGAATAAGTGGGGCTGGCCCATGGACCTACAGATGGGTCCAAGATCTGGCACTGGGAGAGGTACTGATGGAGAAACTTGGGGAAACTCCTCTGTCTGGACACAGTCACTGCAGGTGAGTGCAAGAACTAAGAAAGGGAGCAGCTCAGACCAGGCCAGGTAATTGTACTCAGCAGCATACATTGTGCACAGGTCAGGGATGGACCAGGCTGGGCCAGTTCACCCACTGATGAATCCGAGCACCAGAATGGAGTGTAGGTCAGGCTGGGTTGGGTCATAGAACAAGCCAGTTCACATGAGGACTGGGATTGGGGGCTGGCTAGCTGGGCTGGGCTTGGCTGTAGCCCCCACCAGCATGAGCTGGAACTGGGGTTGGGCCCAGCCTGGTTAATCAATAGCACCTACTGGCAAATGCTGAGATGAGGAGGGCTATGCCAGACTGGGTCACAACAGCCAGTCAGCAGACATGAGACCTGGGGGGAGGTGGCAAAACTAGGAGGGGGGATTTAGGGGACTCCCATGCTGGACCAACATTCCTACTGGTGAGTGTGAGTTGGGATGGGCTAGACCAGGTCCAACACCTGTGGGCCTCATCTGAGCTGGATCAGGGGAAAGCCAGGCTGGGTGGAATATTCTTACTGGCACAAGCGTAAGTCAGAGAGGGTGTGGGTTGGCTGGGCTTTGCCGAAGCATCAGCTGGCAGAGCTGCCATGGGGGGCAAATTCTGTCAAGTTATACTGCAGAACTACCTGGAGAGTTCAAGATCGTGGAGTGCGAGTGGACCCAGTAAGGCAACAGTAAACATCTCCTTCTTGGGCTGCCACTCTGACTGGTAAGCATGAGAACCAGGACTGGGGAGGCAAGGCTAGACAAAGAGTAGCACTTGCCGGCATGTGTATGAATGGGATAGCGGGGCTGGTTGGGTTGAACTAGGTTTCAAGGCTTATTGACATGTATGAGAGCTGAATGGGATGTGGGATGGACTGGACCAGTTGGCTGTACATACTGGCAAGCATGGAAACCAGGGCAGGGGGTGGGCCTGGTGGGAGTTATTATGTATTGCTCTGACTAAGCTGCAGCTCTGACTGGTTTGCATGAGGCCAAGTGTGTGGTGGATGGAATTGAGCTGGGCTGCAGCACCCATTGGTTTGCATAAAAGACAGGACTGGAAACAAAACTGACCCAGCAATTGCAACCACTAGCATATGCATAAGCTGATTGGGGCAACAGACTGTGCCAGACCTGGTATTGGCAAGAATCAGGTCTGGGATCACCTCAGATGAAGTTTTTTTGGGGATCCCCCCAGCTGAACTGATGAATTGAGAATCCCAATCTTGGAGAGAATTGCAGGTTCCATGGTCTGACCGTGGAATGCGTATGTCAGAGCTAGCCCTCCTCTGTGGCTTAGACAGAGCAGTGGACAGCATATCCAGGTGCCCACAAGGATATGACAGTACACTGGAATCTGCAGAGGACATCTGCTACCACAATAGAGCATGGAGGGCAGAAGAAATTGGTTAACTACCTCAGCCAGGTGTTGGCAGTGAATATAGTCCTAGAATTTTACAGAAAAGAGCAACTCTAAACAATCCAAATCGTATCTGCAGGAGATTGCCAGATGTTGAAAAGCACCTATGTCCGTCACTATTTTTTATCCAAATGTTTTAGGATAGACCCTGTATGTTAGCACTGTGTAAGTCTTCAAAGGTGATTTCACATGTACTTAGGGTGAAGAAACCTTGAAAATCCCTTTCAGCTGTTCCGCTTTCCACATGTGGAGACTGATTCCCAGAGACATGAATTGGCTTGCCTGCTGCCACAGAATGCTAATTGTGTGCTAATTCTTTCTGCTCCAAACATAGCTTGTGTTAGCCTTTTCTTCAAACACTTGTCACTAGATTAGGATCTGGGGAAATGCACTTTAGTGATGGTAACACAAACGATTCGCATTGAAAACGAAATTTACTAAATTGATCTAGGAGGGGAGGTTAGTGGGCACTAAAGCTTATAATGAATGATAATAGGAGCAATTCTGCTTTGAATTTAAAGAAAGAAACAAATATTTAAAAATTTTGTAGTGTTACGAACACATTCAGTAGGCAAGAATATAAATCAGTAGTATTAATTAGTATTAGTAATATTAGTAATTAGTAATATTAGTAGTAGTGAAATAACAGAAATTATGTGAGAAATGTTTAGTTTTCCATTCATAGACTAATAAATTGAAAGGAAATAGCAAGCTTTACACATACAGAAATAGATGGATGAAAAGAGACCTAACATGTGTATTGAGACATTTATTGTTCTACTGTTCTTGACAATGAGTGAGATAAAACACTTATCTCGGTTTGGATATCTCAATGGCTTATAAACAACAGTGCGTGTTTCACAGGATGCTTGGCTCAAGGATGTTTGAATTAAAAATCCCTGTAAGCAATTTTATGCTTTTCTTTAGTGTGTTTTTTTTTCATTTACACACTCATAATTAATTGTTCAATTTTCCCAAAGGACTGTTTAAATTTTTGTAGTTGTTTATATTAATACTCTTTTCTCCTAAAACAGGTTTCTGCTGCAGAAAATAATGGAAACGAATCAGGCGTAAGAGAGCTACTGAAGAGGATTGTACAGAAAGAAAGTTGGTTTTCCACATTTGTGAATGTTCTCCGTCAAACAGGAAATGATAAACTTGCTCAAGAATTAACAGGCACTAATTGCTTGGAGAACAATGAAGGTATTTCTAATTTTCCTGGGGAAGATTTTGTGCAATTTACCTAAGTATTGGTTGTCTAATAAAGGCTTAGTGCCAAATATAAAAGATTTTAGAAAAAAAAAATAGTCTAAGGGATTTGAAAGGTCATCTGTTTTGTCTTCTGGACAAATGAGGAAATTGATGTCTAGGAATAGATTAACTTTGAAGATGGAGGAATTCAGCAAGCCAGGATAAGATATTGACAGTTGATGTGAGTCCAATCAATACTCTTTCCAGTATTTATCTTGTTTTGAAAACATGATTGTCTGAATTTTTTTATCAAGATTTTAACATACAATATAGACAAATAGCAAAACATAATAACAAATGAGAAAATAACATACTAATAATTATAACTCTGTGACATATCTTACTGAATATAAATTTTTAAGAACTGTATTAAGGATTTGATGAAAAGTTTGTCTTTATTAACATACTTCAATTATAATTAGCGTGAGTTTTAAAAATTTAAAAATTTAAAATCAACAAAAGTAGAAATAATGTCTTATGATATTTTACATATATTATCTTCAAATATTATGTAATATACCACTTTCCATAGTACATTTCCTATATTTTCAACTTAACACATGTAAGATAAATAAACATTTTAATAAATTGAAATTCTACTTACTTTTATTGCTGTAAATTATTTACATCTTCTCATCGCTTATTCAATCATTCATTAAAATAGAAGGAATTTCAGATTGCAAGATTCTGTTCTAGACGCTGGGTTATTAAATGAGATATATAAAAATTCCTCTTCCCATAAACCAAAGTTTCTAATAAAATGAGGTACAGCATAAACAATTTTCCAAACTATGCATGTAACATAAAAATAGTCAATGGTGATATAAACTAAATCTGAGCCACAAATTAAATAAAACTACAAAACTTCTGGGAAACACCACTTGTTTTGTTAAATTACTATATGAAATACCTTTATTTTTGTCCAGTAGTTTTAAAATACAAGTGTATAAATAATAGAATATGTCAGATCGTTCATGCAAATATATGTGTGAGCAAACCATTTATGAGTTTCAAAAATTTTTTTGCCTCAAAATAAACTTGTTTTTTGATTCCAGTTTACCACAAATTATTTGAAGTACCTGTATAAATACATATTTGTGGGCTTTACCCAATTAAAAATGGACAATATAGCTTTGAAAAGTCAAACGAATTCCACGAACTTTACGCTAGCAAATTCCAATGTTTCTGTAGGGTATGCACACACAGACACACAGGTGCACACATAATCTCCAAATAGAGTGTGCTAAATGCATCTTCTAAAGAGTAGAACATTTTACAACAAAATGAATTTATCTTTTAATTCCACTTTCTGTAACTTTTAAAAGTTTTCTTTGTGTTTGTGCATCCAGAGGCAGGGACAAAGACAAAAACATACAATTAAACATGTTTTATTTAATTACCTTATTTATTTATAAATATAAAGATTTTATGTTCCATAGGTACATTTCCAAGAAGATAATCACACTTTATTTACATCAGGGAAGCTGCAGGCCAGAGAATTGAACCCAAGAGACGTATTGTAGATTTTTAAGACCTGATGGATTCTTCCTGGTTAAATTGGGAACTTGTTTGGAGACCCTCGCTTCCTCCTTCTCTCTTGGGTCTCCCTCTTGGAATGTATTCAGCAATCTGCAGCTTGTCTGGTTTCACAAGTTCCCAGCCAGAGAGTTAGTCTTAGCCTGAATCACACCACCAGTCTTACCTTCGCCTGACTTACGCAAGGTGTAGTTCAAACTTTGGACTTCACATTCCACAGTTGATGATAAAATGAGTTCGCATTTTTAGAGTTCTGGAAATGCAATGGATATGCTTTTGCTGTAAAATATTGATTTGGAGGTGGTGGTAGTAGAGTATGATAGTAGCATTGTGTACCCCAAAACATCTTGTTTTGGAGCCCCAGCTCTTAAGACAGTTGTGTCTGGAGATGGTATCTTGGTAATTAAAGTTAAATGAAGTTGTAAGGGTGGGAGCCTCAACCCACAGAAGATCTCTTCTTCTGTAGGGACATGGCAGGGAGGTGGCTGTCGGCAACCAAGAAGAGTTCTCACCAGACTCCGATCCTGCTGACACGCTGAGGTGGAGTTTCCAGGGTTCAGTACTGTAAAAATCAATGTCTGGCATAAGTCACCCAGGTTATGGCATGTCATTATAGCAAGGACAATGAGCTGAGGTAGAAACCCACACACTCAACTATCAGGCTTACTGAATCCTGCTTCTCTCTTGGATTGAGATATTGGCCAGGGGCTTCCCTTTTCTGTGCCTCAGTTTACCTTTCTATGAAATGGGCATGATAATACTACTTGTCACTTAACATTTTTCTCAGGATTGGATTATTTAATATATCGAAAGTGCTCTGTGATAAGCATAAAGGGGTTCTTCTGTTTATAAACCACAAATATGCACAGTATCTAACCATAAGCATTGCCAAATTGGATTTTTATCTAAAACCTCAGCAGTTTTCTTTAGGAAATCCTACACATACGATTGGATGTCTTCTCTTCTGCTTTGGGCAGGTGTGCTAATAGGAAATGATGCTTTATGCAGCTATAGCATCCGCTCCTCTGACAGACTGCTGCCTCAGAAGGAATGAAAACATGTGTTTTTGTTTGTAGCCCACAGGAGCTCTGAATAAAGCTCTCAGTACACATCAGTCAAAGGAACAAAACCAGTTCAGAGCAATGGAAGACAGGAGGAAGAAAGGATAAGGACACAAAATAATTCATTTAATTAAAACAATTCCAACTCTGCAGGGTGTGTGCAATTAGGCTGACATTAAAGCAGATGTAACTTTCATATAGAACATGAATGCACAAACTGGCAGTAGCACAACCAAAGGGGAACTACCTATCTGTATTTCCATTAGTTCGGCAGTGGCTTTGTGTAACTGAGAAAGTGACTGACTTTTCAAAGGGCATGGTCAGACAGGGATCATCTCCTTTCCTTTGTGATTAGCATAGTATGTTTATTTCATTCCCATGTAAAATTAAATGATTGCAGGGAATTATTCACTTTGCTCATACTTAAAATAAGCATGCTTTTTCATACTGAAAGAAATTCTACATCTTTCAAAGTATCAATGTACTAAAATGTATTAAAGCAATAATCTCACAGGGACCCTTGTTTAAAAGAATAAATAAAAGCTTTCATATGGTTCAAAGCCTTTGATGGCAGCACAATTTATACTCTTCAACATTTCACAGTGTTTAAGCATATCCAGGTAACTGCTATTCAGTATTCTCATTTTATTTTCAAAATGACAGTAATAGTTATGTATGCACTGTAGAAATGCTTGCCTTGTACTACTTTCATGCACTTTCTAACACACTTACAGATGCCAAGATTCCGTCACAAGAAGGTGGTCTTGAAGTTCAAGAGTTACTCTACATAGCTGAAGATCAGTCAAGTCCAGAGAAAAAGGGATGTGACCTGGAGAATAACTCATCCGAGTCCTCTTTTGCAGACTCTTCCATAGTTTCAGGTATTTTGATCATGTATAAATGTTATGTATCAAGTTGGTGCTTCCAAAAAATTTCATTGGTGCACTGCATGCCTTACAGAAAATTAAACCAAGAGAAAGTTTGGGCATTGGAGTCTGTGTGCCCTTGTATTCAAATAATACTTTCAGATGCAATTAAAGTAAAATGATTCCCCTTTGACCAATTTCTTAAATAAATACAATAATGATGTTTTATAATTATGAATGCTTTTCTTCCATTTGACTTTACAAAAATCCATAGACATTCTAATGTGATAAGTATTAAAGACATGCCTTTAATTTCATGATTTCCAAAGTGCTTTTCTTTTGAAAAATGAATTCACTCCAAATCCTGGAAGTTTAATGGGGTTATTGCTTGTTCAACTGTTTTATAAACTAGGACATTCTGAGAGGCTTAGGGAGGTTATACAGAGCAAAATGAAGGTTCCAAAATGTGAAATGAACAGATTTGAGTAAAGGGGCATGAAATGGGATGAGAGCTATATGCTGTAATATTTCCCTTTCGGATGCAGAAATAATCCCGGAAGAACAATGCTGATGTATTTATTTCCCTCTCTCTAGTTCATTCATAACAGGAGGCTTCTCTCCACTTCCCTCCCAAAGAGCCACATTCCCTTAAGAAAGAGCTGCTTCCCGTTTGCGATGTGCTGGCTGATGGAGCAAGTAGCTGTCTGGCTATCGGGTTTTTAAGTGTGTTCCTCAAGGGTCAACATATTTAGAATCAGGCTCACTGTGAGACGTGGAGAGGTTGGAACAGTCTGTGGTACCTGGGGGTAGGGCCTTTGGTGGGATCATCAGCATGGGCTTTTCATTTTACTGGCTTTTTAAGAAGAAAGCTGAGGAGATACACAGTGCACACTGCACATACACTCCCTATCTCTTACCCTGAGTTGCTTTGCCCTGTCTTAGACTCTGCCAAGAAAGCTGCCACCAGATTCAGAGGCTGGAAACTCCACAACTGTGAGCAAAATAGGCTTTTCTTTATAAAGTGACTCAGTTTCAAGTATTTTATTATGGTAACACAAAACGGACGGACTAGGGAAAAGAAAAGTCTTGATTTGTAGCATGTACCAATCTGTGATGTTGGTATTCCCAAAGAAGCTTATTCCAACCTTCCAAAACAATGTTACAAGATACAAGCTTGGGAGGGCAGGTCACAGATAACAGCAGATGCAATCAAATGACCAGAAAGTGATGAGTTCTGTAGATTATTACCATTCTTTTATTATGATTAATTAAATTTTATTTATGTGATTTATTTGTTTAAAAGATTTATTTATTTGAAAGGCTACTGCAGAGACAAACTGAAATAGCAACAAATACAGAAGGTCTTCCATCTGCTGATCCACTCCCCAAATGGATACGAAGGTCAGGCTGTGTCAAGCCAAAGCAGGAGTTGGGGCTTCCTCCAGCCTCCCATGTGGGTGGTAGGAGCCCAAGCAGTCGGGTCATCTTTGCTGCTTCCCCAGCCACTGTAGCAGGAAGTTGGATCTGAGGTGGAACAGGCTGGACATGAACTTTTGCTTCAATATGGGTGCCTGTATCTCCTGGGGCGGCCTAACATGCTGTGTCACAATGCAGACTCCTAACTAAATTTTAAAAGAAATAGCTGTTTAACAATTGGCTCACAGAATTTTTGAAACAACCTACAAGCTCTCAAACGTAAGTAAGTTACAGCTCCTTCCTAAAAACATATTACATAATTAGAATGTCTGATTTATGCAATTTTAACACATTTGATACTTAATGTCAAATTTCACTCCAGGAATTTGTAACTGGAATGAATTAATACATTCTTCACAACAGTACAGGAGCATGGTTTTCCCTGAATTCTCTCACATGAGAATAAGTACTATCGCCATTTTCCATCTTTGCCAATTAGATTGCTACAAAATTATACTTTGTTATTTGAATTTCCTGATTTCTACTGAAAACCATTTTTCCACATTCACTAAGTTTGTGACCTGGTGCTGTTGGTTACCTATTTATATTCTTGCTGATTTATGTGATCTAAACATATAGCATTCTTTTGTCACAGGTAGCACCGATATGTTTTGTGATTTGCTTACATTTTAGCAGTGCAGTTATGCTTTATTTGTTTGTTGTTGTTATTGTTTGTTTTAATTTGAAAGACTTGGAGAGGAAAAGGAGAGGAGAGGGGAAGAGAGAAGGGGAGAAGAAAGGGGAGGAGGAGGGGAGAGAAGAGAAAAGGAGAGGAGAGATGGGAAGGGAAGCGAGAAGAGGATCTTCCACCTTTTGCAGGTGCTGGCTTCTCTTGCTATGCCACACCAGCCCAGGTGTTTGCTTTTTTGCTGCAATCTTTCTGAAGAGTTGAGATCCGATAGGATACCTGGAGAACAGGCTCTTAACTGCAATGCAGCTTCAGCTTCAGTAGATCCTGAGTGGGGCCTGAGGGTCACCTTTTGCACCAGCCACTGTGATTGGTCCGGAATCGCACACTAAATCACGAGGGTCAACACACAGGGACAGCCAACCTTCTCAGTTTGAATTGTGGAGGATTTGTTTTTCAATTAAGGAGCCCTCCTTCCCCTCAGAAATCATGATCCCATAGAGGGGATAAGAACCTGCTATCTGAATCTGGTGTCTTCATGCAGGCTTTCTTGGTAAGCTGCCTAACATTTCTGTGGGGTGGTGACTATTTCCTAAACTGTTTAATGTGTGAGAATTAGAGCATTGGAGAGAACTGAGACTGTGAGGTGACCTTGTGTCTGAAACAAAGATTTCCATCAAAAGTTGTCAGATTCACCTCATCATCTTAGAGTTTGTCAAGTGTTCAAATTTCACTCAAAATTCAAGACAAATTGTTTTTTTTTTCTTTCTAAATTTCTTGATATAAAATACAAAGATGAATTTTGTGGGATAAAAATGTCTAGGTCTTGGTACTGTTCAGAAGATTGTCTTGCTTGTTTCCTTGGTATCCTCCTCCTCTCTTCCTTTCAGACTCTGGTTTCACAAATGCTTTCCTGTGCCAGACACAAGTGCAGAAACAATGGCTTAGGCCTGCTGGGAGCTTCCCATTGATGAGGGCACCGGTGCAACAGTGGCCATCATGGATGGCCATCCTGGTATCCCTGCCGCAGATACCATCAAAGAAAAGTGCACAGAATCCAAATACTTAGGAGTTGAAGAGGCTGGCTCTAACATGACTCTATGCTTCAGCCATACTCTGTTCTATGAAAGCATCTGTATTTCTCTTGGACATTTGTGAGCTGATTAGTTCAATCCATTTTTGCCCTTTCCTGAGCAGTAACAAAGGTACTTCTAGGAAAAACCGCCTTTGCATCGTGCTGGTGCTAGAAGCTGGGATTGGTCTCTCTCTGTTCTTATTGTTGTTGTTGTCGTTAAGACCAAAAACTACTGATATGAATAACTGAGAAATATTATTAGTCCAGAGAAGTTATTAAAACATATATTTTTTTAAAGATTCAAGTTGTATTGCCAAACTTAGAATGGAAGGATGTTTACCTACATGACATTCTTATAATTAACAGTCAACTTAAGTGTGAAAGTGTTCATCATTTTCTAATATTCATTTGTGTACATTTTGTGTATCTTCTTGATATTGATAGAGTGTAATCATTTTCATTTACCGAATACAGAGCACTGTTTTAAATAGTTGCCAACGTGCATTGAAAGAAACTTATAACTTAGGCTGTGCATGCTCTGCCAGTAAGAACTTCTGTGTGTAGCAACAGTTAACGTAGTATTTCCAATTTTGTTCAAATTTTTGTAGTTAGTATTTTTGAACCAGCTTCTAAGACCTTTGTTGGTGTGTTGTAACCTTAGATATACCTAAGTGTTATTATTTATTTGTAGTGTTCATGCAGAGTCCATTTATATAAAATAGCACTTAAAAAGTTAGTGAAAATGGAATTAAAACATGCTTAATTTGCCACAAATTTTGATATTCCTGCATACTAGATATCATCAAAGGATTTATGGAGATACATATTATGAGAATCTATGATTGTATTTCCAAATCATATATCATCAGCTTTTACTCCTTCACACATTTGATGGGAAAAAAACATTACTACCGTTATTAATAGTACTCCACTCTGAAATCCATTTTAATGTAATTATTTCTTTTTGGAGTCAACGCCAGTGTGATATCTTGATATGCAAATTCAATAAATAATGACCCAAATTAAGAAATCAGCATATCATCACTTCGACCCTCAAGAAAATGATTGTAAGCGCATCTCTCTTCACCCTGTGAAAGTGTGTTGTTGCTGCTTCAGAATTCTCAGTAAATAATTCTAGAAAATGACTGTGGTTTCCCCACACCTGGACAGCAGCGTTTCTTCTTGCTCCACCCTGTTGATAATTAACTGCTTTTTAACAAAGTAGTTACCAACTAAGAGATAACATTTCCCCCCTAAAACATACCCTCTGCAAATTAACACAACAATTTCTAAACGATATATGGAACAGTTCTCAGACTATTCCACTGATTTCGATGCTGGAGTTGCATTCTGTTGCCTTGTAAGTCATCTTTCCTCTGATCGCAAGACGATGTACAAAACCGTGGTTTTGCTTTGGAATAACACTTCCCATGAAAATGGCAGAGGAATAGGAAACCCACATCCAACCCAGCTTTTTCTATTAAAATGTTTTATTTAGAACAAGTGAACAGCTCTGCTGAGCTCTTCAATTCTGTAATCCTTCAACGAAACTGGTTGTGCAATTCTATTTCATTGTCTGCTATTGTTGCTTGTCAAAACAAATGAGCAGTTCTACACTAACCTTCTAATTTTATGATTTCAAAAATAAGTCTCTGTATAAATGTAAATTATATTTTAAACTAAATGCATTTCATTTTATTTAGAATAAACTTAACTCTCACACAGAATTGAAAGAAAATTCTCCAAAAGCTTTCTGTTGTGAAAGTAGAAAATGCAGATACCACAGGTTGGCCAGCAGAGGGTGCTTTTACATTTATAAAGAGAACAGAATTTCAC